GAGGCTCAATGGCATCTGGAGGCCTATTCTGGAGTAAATTATTGCATGAATTTCTGAACTGGTGTTTCTTTATCTCTGTTTACTCCTGGCTCTGTACACTGGATGCAGACAATATGATCCCCAAAAGTCATACACTCTGTACTGGTCCCAGACTGTCTCCCTGACCACTACAGAGGTGTGAGCAATGGTGATTCCAGCCTTTTGAACTCTAACAGCCTTAGCTCAGCACCCACTCACTCTTCAGACTGTCAGCTCATTTCCAGCATTTAGAACAGATGAAAAAATCCAACTTTAAAGTGCTTTGGTTTGAACTGTGACTATTCACTAATAAGACCAAACCTCTTCGGTGAGACAGAGAAATTAAACTCTGACGCAAACTTTGAGTTAGCAAAAAGAGGAGGATTTTAAGCAGCTCCAAGCACTACATGTAAAGATTATGTAAGGGTATTTTAATTTTTCTTCATGTGCATCTTTTTCTTCTAAGGATATAAAAAAACAGGGTTATGTTTTCTCAGATAAGACTACAAACACTGACAGTGTTCCATTGCTTTGAAAGGGGGAATAGTTTTGAAAGACATTTCAAAAGATAAAGTTTGAAAACTAGGCCATCTTGCCTCTCTCTGGGAGCTTCTGCCTGGACACCAAGTAGGAAATCCACTTGGAATCTAGAAACTGGCACACTTGCTTGGAAAGACAGCACATTAATTCTAATTTTAAGCAGACTTTCCCTTTAGAAAAAGCTAGGCAGCCTGAGGAAAAGGGTATTTCATTTTAAAGAAATCCCACTAGTATGCCTCTCAAAGTCTTTGTAAATTTATATTCTTTATTCTATTATTGCAAATTATATCAAATAATGAAAACTGTAGGCAAATATTAGACTGGAACTGTAGAAAACCCAAATATAAATTAGTTGTCTTTTCCACAAGATTGTTCTTACATTTACTAATGCTTTTAAAAGTCTGCAGTGACAGGGTTTTTCTCTGGTTTTATGTGAAGCAGCTCTACAAACATGAGCCGTCTCAAAAGGCTTCTAAGTACTTGGACCTGAAGTGTCATTCTTTGTGTTCACACCGTGTTTCTCTTGAATCTGATAACGAATAGGACTGTGTCGGTCCACTTTAGATGAGCAATGGCTTTAATTTTCCTCGTGAAATGTGATCTTTTCAGCAGCAAGCAGAGAGTATTGCATGGGCATTGTTGACAAGAGATGTTTGGAAAACAGGGAAGAGGAAAGGGATTGTATTCTTATTTCCTGGATTAAGAAAAGCACTGCTGTGAAAGTTCTCAAACAGACAGATTGTACTGGTATATTTGGCACTACTTTCAGCCCAGGGGAAAGTGATTCTCTACAGCTTGTACATGAAATAGCACAAAAGAACTTTACTACTTCTTGAAGAGTCCAAGGCATTCCAGTGTCAGCTAAATATTAGTAATCTAAGTCAAAACAACAGCCAATGCAAACTATTGATTGAAACACTGACTCTTCTCTCATCTAAGGTTCACTGAGCTGCTGTTCCAAGAGCGGGGACATCAGCAGGTCACAGAAAACAGCTCCACTTCCACAGCTCTTGGAGAGGAGTCATCCAAACGACTTAATACCCTCCACCTCCAGAGGAACTTTACTTAAATAGAATGTTAATCAGAAAGCTCCTTCCCCCACTTGACCTTCTCTTGATTAATTCAGACTGAGAAATGGAGTTGGTTTGTTTTTTTGTGCCCAGCCCAACCTTCTCTTTGTTATTCAATTTATAAATGTGTCAAATATAATTAAAACTGGCAGAGGTCAAGATTAAATGAAACAAACTGTAAACATTGCTTGTGCTATTTGGTTGATGGAAAGCTTTTTCTATAAAAGGCTTTTAAATAAATGAATTCATATTATTGTGCTGCAGGACTGAAACCTTGCTCCAAGTGTTCGAACTTTTCAGGGACGCTGTCAGGTCAGCTTAGATTCAAAACTTAAACATGGCTGGGATTCTGAAATTGCCTAAGGGAATTAGGTACCTGACTTCCACTGAAAGTCAATGTACGATGGGAAATGAATTGACTTTCAGCAGGAATTAGATGCCTTTGAAAAGCCTATTTATGTCCTCACAAACAGAGGACCATGACCTTCATGGAGATAAATTGATGTAACGCCTTTGACACCTACAAAGCATCTGATACACAAATTTTGCAAAACCTAAGCCAAGCCAAAAACCCCTAACAGATACCTTTACGTATTTGCTTGTATTTTGGTTAGCCCTAAATATTTCCCTTCAATGTACAATAATGAAGATATTATTAAGGAGTGGCACAACTATAAGCCGAACTTCCAAGACATTAGTCAGCCAGGCTGCAATTTGCAGTTTAAATCACTGATTTTAGGGGTACTCCTGACCTGTTGATTGCAGATTCAGAGCCTCAGTACCTCCAAGGTTTTCCCTAAACCATTTTTACATTAAAACCCCACACCCGTATCTCATTAGTCATCATGCAAATTCATAGCAGGCAATGGGGAAACTCAGTAATTTTGAAGGCAAGTTTCTGTCTTGTTGACTGAGATTTTAGTGCTAAGCAATACAGCATTAAAATTTAGATTACACAGCTTTGAAAACAGATTCCCTGGCTATTTGACATGATTTCCTTTAATTCCTCATCACTACTTTAAAAAGTAATGCAAGGAATGTGATGTTGTCTGTATTTTTTTTTGTCTTATTTTTCACACAGGATGGTCATTTTCAACTCCTGTGCTAAATTCTGCTTATTTTGGCACTTGTATGTTTACATTTCTACATGTTTCATGACTTTAATAAGCTGATGCTACATTATGAACTGAGCTTTTTGGGATTTCTCAGTCAAATGCCTTTAGAAAAAAACACTATAGCAGTACCATCGGACTGGAGTCAGAAATTTCCCTTTCCCATCTTAAAAGTCTTCTTATTTATCTCCAAATACTCTCTAAGAATTCTACTGGTCTCCTAGGAAAAGCTACTTCATTCAATGTTCAGTGTGGCTTCTAGAGGCAGAACTTAATGACAAGATCAGGGGTCTTTTGGGGACAGGATGACATCATGATACAAGATGGCACAGTCACAGAATGTACTGGTCCTTCATCTCTGAAATGGCAATTCATATCTGAACAGAGATGATCAGGCAAAATTAGTGCACTTATTCCCTCTTTATCTTCAGTGGGTATGAAATTAGACAACAAAACCGCTGCAGAGCCCTGTAACCAGCAGGTTTGGGTCATGAGAAAGCCAGTGATTGAGGGATAGAAGGTCAGGACTGACCAATGAAGGTAGAGTTAGTGTGCACCAAAGATCTCATACAGCCTTGCCCAATCTGTTCGACCAAGACTACGTATTAGTCCCTTGCTTTCATAACCACAGATGTTTTCAGATCTATTGAAAGCAGCTGATAAAGATTCCTCTGTGGTGATGAGTAAACGAGACCTGATATCAGAGAGTGGAAAGGAGCAACGTAACTGTCTCACACCTTGGGAGCAGCTGAAACCATCTAAAGACCATCTTAACTATCTGCTACTTGGATGTATCGTACTCTAAAAGCTAAATAATCTCTGTTGAACTGACTACACAGATTTTAATGTTTTATCTATTTCCACTAGTGTATGTTTTTCTCTCCTTCAATTTTCTTTCTCATCAATTTGCTATGAATATTGCCCTGTGTTTAGACTTCCAAAACCAAATTTTGAAAGCTAATTAGATATGGAAGGATTTGAGTGAAAATCCTGTATGGTACCCAGATCCTTCATTAATGATAACGCAGAACTATATAATAAATGAACTAAAGAAACTTGAAAGTTTTGGTTATTTGTCTAAGGTGATAACAAGCATTGCCTCAATCATCTGGAAAAGGGAGAAGCATCGAGTAACTTCTTCAGGGTTCAGTCCTCAGCAAAATCTGGCATTTCCAACCAACAGTTACCAACTGTCAGAAATGTAAAAGTAAGCTGCAGTTTTCAAGAGCCTGGCTGTTCTGCCCAAAATGAGAGCCCTGCTTAAGCAACAAATCAAGTCCTAAACTCTTTCTTCTAGTTGGCAGCATGAGGAACACTTCTGTAACAAAGAGATCTTGGGGCTATAGGCAGCGAACAGAGGCATTGCTGAATGAAGTTGGAAAGAAGGCTTCAGAGCAGTACTTTTCTCTTTTTATATCCAAGTATTTTTATTCAGTGAGGTTGAGACAAAGAAGATCTTGGGAGAAATAAAAAAAAAGTTTAACAGATTTAGTGGATCTTGGGTATTATAATATCATCTAAAATAATTCAGTGGCCATTTTTGCTAATACATAACTCCCCCTCAGAAGAAAGTCAGACTACTTTTCTCACCAAAGCTAGAGTTTGGGAGCCGACTTGGATTTTACATGGATGCAAATATGAAGGGATACTATTAGGGATATTCCACTGCTGCACAGCTGAGTTGATACCAGAATTTGGACTAATGGCTTCAGCTTAAAGCTATTCTTGTAACTAAGGACAGCAGATTGGACTTTTAACAGGGACATTTTAACTGTAAGATGTCAAAGACAGCTTGCAGTAAGCAGAGTTGTTTAATCTAATATCTGGTTTTACTTTATTATATAAAAGGATTCCAAGACGTATGTTTATGTTTTCAAATTCAAATATTGATTAAAATGAGTATTAAAAAGTTATCCTACAGTATTAAGAACCTAAATAAGAGAACTTTTGGCCAGAATGAAAAAAAAAACCACGATATGATATTAATTAATACAAATAATACTGAAGAGGCTGCTGTACTGTTCTGAATGAGAGAAATTAGGAACTGCATACTGGTGTTTTAAATTCCCTAAAATTGTAGTATTCTGCAAGGTTTTCTAGCTGCGAGAAAACATTTAATCCTGATGCCTGTATTGTTCTCTTCAAGAGGAATTGGATCAGGTCCTTTGTGACCAATTCTGCTTATTTACACTTTCATATACTGTTTAGCTTTCATGCATTCCATGGTTGAAGAAGAATCAAGAATTAAGCCCAGTCTTCCTTAAATTTTTAAGACTTTTTGTTAATTTAATCCCTTATTTCTCCAGTTAGCGAATACAAAATCACTGTCATTAAAGATCACCTTATTTTCTGTTTTCATATTATTCTGTTGTTATTCTTCTCACTGAAGTCTCCTTTCTAGTCATAATGAACACTCGGAGCATTTCATTGAGAAAAATGAGGAGTTAAACATTTTCTATTTCCCTAATCAAGACCCTGTCATTATCATCACTGAAAGCCAGAAAAAAAATAGGTGAAGAACGACAGAATTACATGAAAGGTAAAAAGGACACTGCCAAAGTGATTTTGTGATCACAGTCACTTATAATAATAGACCGCATGTTGGCATGGCAATCTAATTGCACACTAAAGCCCGAGTGTAAACTCGGTTACTAGTTGCATTACATAATGCTGATGCTCAATCACATCAGTCACAATTGAGCTTAATATGAATAGAAATTTTGAAAAGTCTCTGATTGTTATTGTGGAATAATTCATACAGCTCGTCAGCAAGACAGTTATCAATTTAATTTGATATTTTTGAAACAGAAAGCCACAGTGATTCAATTCTAGAAGAACAAGCAGCCTAGAAAAATATCTCGTGTTTTGCAAAAGGAGAGAAGAAAACAAAAGTAGGATATATTTTTATTCTATCACTTTTGACAGTATCCTTTTAAAGGGAAAACTAAATTAAATTTTAAAGGCCGAATTCTGTTCTCATTGACATCACAATAGCTCCAGAGTAATCCGACCAACTTTCATAGAATTACTCCAGAGTCACAAAATATTAATGGCAGCAGAAGCTGGCTTTTCAAGCCTAGCTGTTTCACAATGGGAATACATTTTAAGAAGTGATATATAAAAGAAAATAGTTTGGGTTTTTTATTCCATTAAATTAGATCTGCAAATATCACAGAGAAAGGCTGATTCCTCTTTTTGTCTCAGATAAGCTACTTTCGGAAAACATGTATGAGGAGAGTAAGACAGAAAGCTCAGAACAATCATTGAATTAAGAATGTGTTCAGTAGACACACTTGGGTTTTTCCCAGACCACAGATTGCTTATCCTGAAATCTGTATTTCACATAAATGGAGGGGTACAGGACACTGAAAATTGATCTGAAGGCTAAATTAAATTTCTCCTGCAGTGACCTGATTGAGGAAAGGAGGAAGGGGAAGAAGGAAGGCTAAGACTGGTGCAATTCAAAGAGCAAAGATATTAAGTGATAGCCCCAAAAAAGTGCCAGAGGTCTTCCAACAAGAGGTATGCTGTTCACATCCATCCCACTCTCTGGTGACACGCTCTCCCCAGCTATTTCCACTTGATTCATGTTGCTTCTATACTTGTTGAAACGGTTCACACTGTCTCACTGTTATTACTGCTATTATTTTACCTATCCACGCTTGTCTCTGCCAGTCTGTTATTCATAATTGCTAGGGCTCCAACCCCCCCCGAGAATCCATTTTGCTTTGAATTAGAGCTCATTTGCCTCGGATAGCCATTAGCAGTCTCCGACAGCTGTTTCTGCATGATGGCCAGTGAGACTTTATTGGAGGCCAGGAAGTCTTTCATGGAGATCATCTCGCCTGACAGCCGGCGTCCGTCTGTGTCGCTTTCGTTGACCAGATCTGTCTCGATGGAGATGTTTCTCCGGCTGCGCACATTTCCCGGCATTACCACATTCCTCCGCGAACGAAATAATTTTCTTTGGCATCTGTGGCAGCACCTGCAGTCCAGCTTCTTTAATATCCAGTTTATGGATTGTTTGATGACAATAGAGATCACGTTAAATAAGGAATAGATGCAGCACACCCCCATGAGTATGAAGACAAAATTGCCAAAGCGGTAAAGGCCTTGGCTCTCGTATTTGATGTTCTGGCTACTGACCAGATCACCAAAACCGATGGTACTGAAGGCCACGAAGCAGAAGTAAAGCGAGTCAAAGTAACTCCACCCTTCAATCGGTGTGTACATTGCAGAGGCACAGCAGGAAATTATGAGGGATGCTACACATAAAATCAGCATGACGTAGTACACAGAGGGCTTCCAGCCTGCCAGGCTGTCCACCTCAGAGGTCCCCGAGCCCCGCCGGCCATTGTGAGGGAGGACCCCTTTCCTCCTCAGCTGTCTTTCGTGGCAGGACTTCATGACGTAGGCTATGACAGTGATCAAGCGTTCCAGGAACAGGTTAAAGAACAAAATGGTCCCTGCACATCCTATAAGGCCATAAAATATCAGAAAAATTTTGCCTCCAACGGTGGCTGGGGTGGTCATGCCAAACCCTGGAAGACAAAACAGAAGAGTTGAAAAAAAACAACCTGTAGTTATTGTGTCAGGAATTTCGTCACATGCAAAACTGAAGAATTGGCAGTAAATCCCAGCTCAGCTCTGGGAAAAAGCAAGGACACTCTCCCCAGCTGTTAACCACTTGTGATTGACCATGTCCCAGCAGTAAGGGGAAGGAAACTCATGCCAGTATTTCCTCCAGAATCAGAAAGAAACAAAAAGCAGAATAAAACACACTGGAAAGTAAGGAGGGTTTAGTGGAGGCCTGAATTTTGGTCTGGTTGCCAAGCCCGCTCCATCCCCCTTTGTGCCTCAGATCACTTCCAGGATTCTGGGTTATCGCACCCCCTTCCCTCGTGGGATTTCTCAGCTCAGAGGTGCTTCAGTCTTCTCTCAAATCCCTCCCTTCTTAAAGCCTGCAAATAGTAATTTTGTTATGGCTAAAACTATTGATAAGACAATCTTGCTTTAATAAGATATTACTAAAGAATAAAAAGTATGTCCAGAACATCATTGAGCAAATTTGAATAATGCTGACGATAAATAACTTTGCTGCTGCTTGATTAGGATCGATAAGGGATTACATAATTGACCAATGAAGCCAAAACAATCTTGCTGAGAGGACAGAAAAATTATGTTGGACATGTTCTTTGGGACAACAACTTTTTTGCCATTGTTCCCCTTGGCACATAGCTATTTCCACTCACTGTCTACCTTCCCCTTCTGCTCCACGGCCTTATCCCCCTATAATCCTAGTTTTGATGCTTAGTTTCTGCTCAGTCTGCCTCATCTGCAAGTCATGACCTCCACCCTGTGGACAGACCCATAAAGACCGACGGACGAGGGGAACCTTTCTGCAGCTGGTGGGACCTGCCCCACACAGCCATGGGGGCTGCTGTGTCCCTGGCCCACCCCGCACTTGGAAGCAGAGAAGAGGCTGAAGGCTGGCCAGAAGCCAAAAGGTGGAGAGCATAAATTAAATACCCTGGGAAGAGAAGTGTAGTTCAGGCTCAGATCTCCAGCCTAGAATTATGCCACTGCCATCATGGCCAGAACCCAAGCTCCTCGGGTTCCTTTGTCTAGTCGACTGGATTTTGTCTCGGAGCTCAGGTCTGCGTAGGTAAAACCCCACCAGCAAAGGCTTTACAAGAGCACCCACTGGGGGTTGGACTAGATGATCTTTAAAGATCCCTTCCAACCCAAACTATTCTTTGATTCTATGAATCTGTGCTTTTGAAGCAGGCATGATGGGAAACGCACGGTGAGCTATAAATACCAAAAGATGCAGAACATTGATCCAGAGAGGCAGTGAGGCTCTGACTGTGTCTCCACCCCTTGTCAGCTCCTTCTCTTCAGCACAGACACCGTTTTGACCTCCTGGAGTAAATGTAATTTTTTTTTTTCATTTTCCTATTTACGAATCTCAGTATGTAGCAATCAATACTAACATTTCCAAAGAAGCACTAAAATGAAAAACCTAAAAGCAGTATGAAGATATTAATTTAGCAAGCATTTTCCTTCAAAGATTATTTGTCAAAAAATGAGCTATAAGCTTTTAGTTCCAGAAATTATTTCAATTCTTGAAATGCTTCACATTTCCATGTATTGGGCCACGCGATGCTTGATTAACTTTGACCATCGCAGTATTACACCTGGGATTAATTTGGGATGCTTTATTATAGAGTAGGAGTTGTTTGACAGTAACTACATTTTTCTCCAAATGGATTCATGGCATGTTTGAAATATTCATAAATTCAAGTAAATTTGATGAATTGTTTCAGCCAAGAACTGCAGGAGAGCAAAATGTAAAAGACTGAAACAGTTGAAGTGAAAGTAAATGTTCTCTTTTGGCATTTTTGTGATAAAACTTTTCATTTCCAAGTATCAATCACCTTTTTCGGTAAAAAAAAAATCAGTTGGAAGAAAAAAGAATGGAAAAAAACACTTTGAAAAATCTTTCAGACTTTTAAAGTTTCATAATCTCAAAAAGGAACATGACATTTCACTAATGATCAAATCAAACCTATAAAAAATTTCATTATATTTTACCCTTCTGAAAGACATAAACCAAATCTGTTCCTATACAGCTTCAGATTAAGGTTTTTCCCTATTTTTTTCCTGCTGGTCATCATACTAGAAATGCACTCCTTATTAATTCCTACTAAAAAATTGCTACCCTTGGTGGGATCTGCCTCTTTTTCCCCCCAAATTTCTGTAAGGAAAACTGTGGCTTATTCATGGACAAAAATGTACAGCAATAGGATGTGCTCTTGTTTTAGTAAAATTACTGATGATTTGTGCTGGGCAAACACAGAGGATCGATGTATAAGTCAATTCTCTCATGAGGTCAGTGAAAGCTCTTGTACCAAAACTACCCCCTCTAACCCAAGGACACCGAAATAAGCCTGTTGTCTGGGATCACATGCATTACTCGAGCATCAGAGGAGCCATGAGCTGTTCTCTCTGAAAACAAAGACAACCCTTAACACAGCAATGTGTGTCCTGGGGGCAGGTATCTCCGTAAATCCTGGAGGTATGGACATATCTCCACACATCCCCTCTGTGTCCTGGACCTGGTCAGGTTGCTCTTTTGCATGGAGAGGCAAGAGGAGAGGCCGTTGCAGAGCTGAGTGACATCTCCACATGAACCTGGGACATCCACCCACACCTGGGAGCTGTAAAGTGCACCTGGGTTCCCCCACTGAGACACAGCATTAGTGCCTCACCATGTATTTTCCAGAAGACTGATGAGACACTAGGAAAAGCAGCATTCATCCCCTCTCTTTTGCTTCAGATGTTCTACAGGGCAAGGGACTAAAAAAAGCCAACTCCCTACTCTGCTTGTAAAATGCCTTTTTTTCTCCTTCCATTATAGAAAAGGAGATTGGAGTCTGGGGTGCCACTACAGCATTTGAAAACTGAAATATTGCAGCATTTCTATTTTTTATTTTTGCAAAAATGTATGTGAATAAATGCCTGGCAGGTCTCTCTGTAGCAGCTGAGAGTTGCTATGACACGCCACAGGAGATACTGCCTGTCTGCCAAACTGAACCAGAGAGGAACGGGCCAGGAGGTGTCTGAATTACTATTGATATGTTTGATTGACGCAGCAGTTTTAATCCAAAAGATTTAATTTTGCAGCTGAAATATGTCAGTTTGAGGTCTTGGCACAATGGTGGGACACCTATTGCTCTGCCTGGTGCCTTTCTCCAGTCCCTGTACCATCCCAGGAGAATCACGCTTCCCTGTTTCCTGGGATACCCCAGAACTGGATCAGCAGCCCCTGTTTCCATGTCTGTGACCTGCCTCTGAGCTGCCCTCTCTTTGAAACAGAGAGCACAGCCTTACAAAAAGCAGACTAAGGGATTCATTTCCAATCCCTTAAAATGTTAACCCAAGTCCTTATCAATCAACGATTGATATCATCAAGGATTCCAAGACTGTGCGTATAGACTTGCCAGTTAATTTTTGCTGTTTTCTTGATATATCTACGTGTCACATGCAAGTATTTCTCCACTGTTAATTATAAGATCAGGTTTATTCAGACTGGACCTACGTATCTTTCACAGCTGCAAGTCATGCTTATCAGAAAATGTAGCTCTTGGTATTGTTGTTGTCAAATCAACCTTCCAAATGCACACTACAGGTGTGCAACCGTGCCTTCCTAGTTGCTTGGCTTTTCCTACAGCAAAAAAATGATGGGTTTAGAAGCAATTGCCATATTTGTGCTCTCCACCTACTGCAGGTATGGTTGTCCCTGTTCCAGCTGCCAGCTGAAGGGTGTCACCCTTCAGCCCTGGGATCAGAGACCTCAGGTGAGCAGGACCAAGCTGCAAGGACACAGAATCGCCGTGCTGGGTCAGACCATTGTCTTTGACAGTGAAATCATATAAGAAAATGTGAATAGGGAAGTAAATATGAAGAGAGTGATCCTTCCCTGGGGTATTCTCACAGAAATCAGCAGTTTAGAGGCTTTGAGGACATCACATTTAACAATTTCATCATCAATCTTGTCAAATCCTTTTTCAAATCCTTTATACTCTTCGTATCTATTAAACCTGAGGGAATAAGTTCCACGGTGTAATTATGCTTTGTGAAAAAGAAGTCTTTGTCTAACCTGCTGCCTGACAACTCATTTCAGACTTCTCACTTTTTGCAGGTAGCTGGAGCAATCATCATTCTCCACACACATTCTCCCTTTACCTCCCCCCTTCGGATTTTACAGACTTCTGTTATTTCCTTCTTTTCTATTTCTTCCCCAGTCTGAGGAAGTCTATAACATTTAATCTCTAGTTTTCAGTCTAAGACTGCTGCTGTTACCTCTCGTTTCCTTTCTACCTTGAGAGTCTGTCAAAGATGAAGGAGCAAAACCAGAACTATATGCTGTATTCGCAATGCAACGTCTGCGGAAGTCTATCACATTTCATCTCTAGTTTTCAGTCTAAGACATACTCCTAACCAGCGCTGTTACCTCTCTTGTTTCCTTTCTACCTTGATAGTCTGTCAAAGATGAAGGAGCGGGACCAGAACTATATGCTGTATTCGCAATGCAAAAGTACTTTGAATTTATGCAGGGCATACCGATGTCTTGTGCTTTGCTCTCTTTTTCGTAGGAATTCCTGTTTGCCTTTTTATTTGCTATTGACCACTGAACTGATATTTTCAGCAACCTGAAGGTCCCACAGAGGGTCTGAGCTCCCATGATGGCCGTCTTGGAGCTCTTCAACGTCTGGCTGTAGTTACATCTACCTTTTCCCATGTGTGTTACTTTGCATTTGTCACCACTGAATTTCATCGATTATTTATTTACCTAGTTATATGTAATATGAGAAACGTAGTAATATGAGATTCTTCTACAGTTCATTACAGGCCTGAATACTTCTCTGTCCTAAGGAAATGTTGCTATCTATTTATTTATTTATCTCTTTTTTTACATTGTTTATGACTGTTGAAATGTGCAGGCGTCAGCAAAGAGCCTCAGAGGCCCTGCCGTTAA